GCATAATTTCTAGCAGCTAGGAAGTTCACTTGCTTTGAACTAAAACAAACAGGTAGATCAAAAGTGGTAGCCCATATTGGGGCCTTGGTCAAAACAAAGGGGCATTTAGAAAGAAAAAAAGATAGGGAGACAGCTGTAGCACATTTCACAAGTGAGAATATCATGGAAACTTACTGGTGTGCTGGAAAGTAGAAGCCTGGCTCCTTTTTTTATGATGCAGATGCTTTTTTTTTTCTGAATGTGTTTGAATATGCTTTGATTTGTAAGTTCTCATATGTAATACAAGAAAATCTATTATTATGAAGAATAATATATTCCCAATGTTATAAGAAAGGACCCACATAAACTCCATCCTCTATGTGCTTGGTTTGATTTTAAGGGGCAAATATGGGGCTTTTACACGCATACCACGCAATTCAGAAAAAACCCCACCATTTTAGTTTTTTTTTTTTCAAAAAAAAAAATGAAATAAATTGTTTGATGCTTACAATTAAGAATTGAAGATTGGGCATTAGATATGTTGGTATAAAAGAACTGAGTGGTATTTATGCAAATCTTCTTTGATTCAAACGCAATTTTCTTTTTGCTACTGCTTTCAAGTTTGTTTTCTTTTAGGCGCATTTTATTGCTTTGTGCCCAACAGAGAAGTTTTGGTAATTGATTCATTTTCATGGTGATTGAGAGATTGCTGTTTGCATAAGTCCTAAGAAAATATCTACATTTGGATTCATTCAAGGAAGGAATAATTTACCTCCCAAATGCCTTTGCTCGTTTCAGAAATGGTGGCATGAATTTAAATTTATGGCTTTAGGTCTTGTATGTCAAGTAGGAATTGTATGAATGGGAATGAGGATTGTTTGGTGGGAAATGGATCTGTTGGATGTATTCTCTATTTGAAGTAGCTTGGATGACCCATTTTTCAGGGAAACCGCTGTATTCTGTATTTCGTTCGAGTATGGAGAATAATTTATTGGTAACAGAAGTTGTTTGGAATCAAATTTGTTGGTAACATAATTTATTGGATAAGTGGTGCATCTCTTTGAAGCAGCTTTGATGGCCACATGCAGTTATATATGAGGGGATTATTTGAAACTTTATGCTTATATAAGAATTTTTATTACATTGCTTATTCGTTTGATGGTGCATCTAATTATTTGTTTGATGGTATATCTAATTATTTGTTAAACAGAAATGCTTACAAGTTCGGTAAGCATGTGTGTTCTTGTTTGCTAGCTCGGTTAGCTTGCTTGAGGGAAATGTGAATACGTATATAATATGTCGTATCTTCTCTTCAGATCTTGTTAAACAAAAATTCTTGTGGGAAATGTAAATAGTTGATTGGGAGATATTTTTTTTGGGGATATGTGTTACTTGCTGCTTGAAGAGTTTGGTTTTAAGTACATATTACAACTCCTATATTCTGTTCATCTCTGAAGCAATGTATTTCGGTTTAGAACATATATGAAGCCTTTCTGTTTTACTTTCGATGAAGGAAACCGTTTTACATTCGATGCATTTTTGTTGTTGAGTCAAAGAGGTGCTTTATATTGAAGGCAAGCATTCTTGAGTCAATGAGATGTTTTTTTGTTGTTGAGTCAATCAGATGTATGAGGTGCGTTATATATGTAATTATTGTTGGTACATATGTTATAGCTTTCTCATATTGCTTCGGATTTTATTGAGATAACGGTGGAGCAGTTTGGACGGCCACAGAAGTTTGTTGTCGGCAACAGCTGCCTTCATATTTCGGTAAGTATACTTTCTATATTTCCTCAATTTTTTCACTGTTCTATTCTATTTTTAATAACTACAAGACGATGAGTTTCAAACATTCAAGGAAGTCCGAGAAAGTGATGTGTCGTTGCGGGCTACCGTCCTTGCTACTCACGTCACGTCAGGCACATAGCTTCAGGAGGCAGTCAGTTTTACAGGTGCCCGCGGTGGGGACAAGGACCAGAAGACTGAAAGTTCTCTGGTGGGCCGACAGTGCAACTATTTTTACGATATCCCAATTGGAGACAGCTGCTAAGAGTTCGATAGTACCACAACGGGAGACCACCGCATATGGTTTAAGTTCTTCCGTTTCAACGACATCCTAGTCGGACAGGTTTGCTCGGGGTTTTAAGGTATCAGAACCGGGCAACATTCGACGTGATATGCTTTTACATTTTAAAGTCAATATTGTCATATTTTTCCTTGTAATTTTAACATGTTATTTTTTCTTTTTTTTGGGTCATATTATAATTCATATTAGTGTGTGAATGTGTGTTTCACTTTCATATGTATCACTATGCTTATTTGATGTAATCAGAACTTTTTGAGTTACATAAATGCTATTCAACTCTTCTGCATTTTTATGTTGTGACATTTGAGAAAATTATTTCTGTGTTATAGAGTACTCATTCAACTAAAAAAATCTGCGAATAAGCTATTTACAAAACGCACGAAACAAATAGCTAAACAACTTATCCAGAATACAGACAGAGTGGTCATTTATCCAAAATAAGTTGTTTTCTCAACGCATAAACCAAACAGCCAGCCAACTTATTCGGATCAACTGTCCATCAGCAGATTATCAGAATCAGCTGCTTATCAACAAAAGCTGGATAAGTTGCAGCTGCCCCAAACAGGCCCTTAATAGAATAATTTTTGTAGCATTTGAGCATGATATAACCTAACTGCTTATCAACAAAAGCTGGATAAGCTGCAGCTGCAGCTGCCCCAAACAGGCCCTTAGTAGAATAATTTTTGTAGCATTTGAGCATGATGTAACCTAGGAGCATGATATAACCTAAATCATACTAAACAATTAAAAATGACAACTTCAAAACCTACAAAAACTTAATTTCAAGTATTTATATATCATATATGATACAAGCTATCATCGAGCTATCAACAAATAAATTAATATTTTAGTTAATTAAATTTTATTTAGGGCCCGTTTGGGGCAGCTTATAGGGTGCAGCGGTGTTTTCAAAACGTCGTCTTCCCGTTTGTATATCGCGATCGCTCTAAATTTTTTATGTCACGGCGTTTTATTATCGCGATTTTCTTTATATCTTCGCAAGTTGGATATCCCCCGCGTCCCGCGTATGAGTTTTGCGATTAAGAAAAAAATTCCTGTGCTGCCCCGCAGATCTCCCTCGCCCTCCCTTGGAGAACTGCCGCCTCACCTCGCCCTAGGAGAATCGTCGCAGATCTCCCTCGATCGGGAGAATCGCTGCCTCGCTCGGCTCGCGGAAAGGAGAATCGCAGATCTCCCTCGATCTCCTCCACTCCTTCGTAGGGAGAATCACAGATCCCTCGCCTCGCCTCGCAGATCTCCCTCGGCTTGCCCTTTCCAGGAGAATTGATTTCCTCCGCTCCTCTACTCACTTGGTTCGCCATTCCAGGATCGGAGCAAGGTATACAGATATCCCTCTCCTTCCTTCACATGAGCCTAGCATTTCGATTTTCCTTTCTGACTTCTTTCCCCTGTGATCCTTGAAGTTTGTCTTTTCTGATTCGTTTCCCATGCAATCCTTGTCGTAGAAGTAAAGTTGGTGTAAAGTTGGTGTGAGTTTAGTGAGTTGGTGTGAGTTTAGTGAATACATAAGAATCGTGTGCCACACATGTAAATTTCTCTTTAATCATTTAGTGGAGAATGGTTCTGAGCTAACAAAACTGGGCCTTCTATTTAAATACAATTTCTTTGTGAAATTCATTTTTCTTCAAGTGAAATAAAAGATTCTTTCTAATATCTTCCACTACTTGTAGTTAAAGGCTAACATCAATTCCATGTATATTTGCAACAAGGAGTAATTGGACTAAAATTAAAAACAGGTGTAACTATTTTATAATTTGTTCTGCTCATTAGTTCTTTATATATTTGGAATTTAGGTGGAAATAGATCCATGATCGCTTCAAACAAATTTAGCAAGTTATCTAATTTCAGTTCTGTTGCAAACAGCTAAAACCAAACAGGGGAAAAATGGTCATTTATCTAACAACATCTCCCAATAAGCTGTTCTTAATAAGCTGCCTCAAACAGCAAGTCAGTTTATTCTGATAAACTGCAAATTATCAGATTATCAGAATAATTTGTTTATCAACAGATTATAAATAATCAACAGCTGCCCCAAACAGACCCTTAAATAATATATCATATATGATACGAACTATTATCGAGCTTAATATCAAATATTTAACAAGTTATTTGTTAAACAACAAACGAGTTTGTTCATAAACATAAATGTACAAGTTTGACTATGTTCATGTTTAATTAATTTAAGCTTCGAGCTTTTAAAAATTGTTCAGGCTTATTTATTTACTAATTTGAACGAACATGATCAAGTTTTAATCGAGCCGAGTTCGAGTTGTTCATCGAGTACATTGGTTCATTTACCGCCCAACTATGGGCGATGAAATCATTAAAGGTGGGAACTTATTAGCTATCTCAGGTATATTGTTCAAAGTGATGGTGATATATATGGGAATGTTACTAGTAGAATTCAAGTTGTTTGGTTGAAATAGATGAATGCATCGGGTCTATTTGGTGATAAAAAGTACTATTAGACTTAAACAAAAAATTTATAAAATGGTAGTGAGACCTACAATGCTTTATGGTTAGAGAGTCGTCTTATATGGTTTGGTCACATTAAACATCAAGCATCTGATGATCCGGTCAGAAGAGGAGAGTAGATATTTTAGATTCGACTTATGTTAAGAGAAGTAGAGGTAGACCTAAAAAGATTTGGACATATTGTATGAAAAATGATCTTAAATTAGTAAAATTAAAAGAAAATCAAACACTCAAAAGGACACAATGGAGAAAAAGAATTCATGTAACCAACCCTACTTAGTGGGATAAAGGCTTCTTGTTGTTATTATTGTTGATTTCAAATGCCAAACATGCTTATTTCAAATTAAAGTATAAACAAAATAGAATAAAAACAGAAAACAGAAAAATAAAATACAAAAACAATCAAAGAACCTTTTAATAAATGCAGTAGCCATAATACCTGCAGGTGTTATGGTAAACTGCCCTGCCCAGTTGATCTATACTGTTTATTCCCTTACAGCCAGCAATAACCTCAAGCACTTGTCTGCAAAAACACGAAACTCGCATAAAAAAAAAATGAAGAAACAGAATTAACAGCAGAAAAGAAGCATTGGCATCAAAATTACCTAACACAACAAGGTTCATTCCGCCCTTTAACAATAAAATCAGGATCATACTTTTCCTTTTTCTTAGAAGGCCAATTTGATTTGACAAAATGAATTCCAGCATGAGTATTCTTAATCTCGCAATATGGTGCATCAGTTTCAATCATTATTCTTTCTGTGGGAATGTCTCTCACAACATTTAGATTCTCTGTTGTTTTAAGAGAGCAGCCGTTAAGTCCTGTAGCACAAAATCTGATGGGAATTAGAAGATGCTTGCACAAAAACTGATGAATCATAAGAAAATGCTGGGTAATTAAAATACTGTTGCAGCATATTTGCATTTTACAAATAAGCCTTGGAAAACCTCGTTATAAAATCTACATTTGGATTAGAGATTAGGATAAATATAAATAACCTTTTTGCTCTTGAATAAGAGAAATGACGCGAATCAAATTTTCTTATCTCCTAAAATGCAAGATTTGTGGATTGAGAAGAAGATATTTAACATTTGATTAGTAGTTTTGCATGGTTGATTTTATAATGGCATGACGGGTCTTTCCTTCGCTGTATTTATATTTTCTGATTTAATGCTTGGTTTGGATATGTGATTAAATATTTTAAAACAAGTTTTTTATCACAAAATTATAAAATTGTCATTTGAATAATTTTGTCTATTTCTGATTTTCCTCAAACAAAACGTAGTTTTAAATTAAAATTTTTAACAATGAAGTTGAGTTTGTGTGCTTGATTTTATGCAATCTTATCCTAGATTTGCAATAGGAAATCCTGAATCACAAGAAATACCGTATGACATTGTGTAATAAGACTTAACGATTGTGTCAAAAAGTCAAAGTGAGGGTCAATATCAATGGCATTTAACAAATCATTAGAGATATATGCTTCTAATAAATTTGAAAAATGAATTAACTAAATTGCTTAGAAAATAAAATCAAATGAGCGTATATACATCAATCAAGTTAAAGAGCAAATGTAAATATTGGAAACTATTCAAATTCAAAAAAAGGAATAAGATGATATTAAAGAGATTTATAGACATCCGTTTGAATGTTAGGTGGACTGAAATACAAGAAATTCTCTGAGGGTGGAAAATCAAGATAGACTTTATATGAGGAATACGGAAATAAAGCTCATGTTAATCGCTGGCGGCAAATATGAGACTTAGATATTGACATAACTAAGAAAAAAAAAATTGAGATGTCTACGTTAGATGGCGTTGGATGAGAAATAGATTTTAAAATATTTTTTTAGTTGGCTAATGGGCATGAATATTTTCCTAAATTATAGACATTTGAGCAAAGTTAGAATGAAGTGGATGGGTGTACAGAACCTATAAATATTTGGGTTAAAAATAACTTACAGCAGTAGTTCAAATAACTGGTTTCCTTGTCTTTGGCAATGCTTAGGCATAGGATCCACCACTGACAACAACTGTTATGATATTTTCTCCAACAGTCAAGGACAAGAAATGAGCTTATCCTTGTATTATAGGAATTGGGAGAGATCGGTCAAACCCTAGTAATGGAACCTCTTGCAATCTGGGAAGTCGACAACGTTATTGCGGCCTTTAGGACTTCAAGCTAGTTTGGAAGCCAGCCACAGGATTGTGTGTTTCGAAATCGTACGAGGAGCGATGACAGTAAAGAAAGTATTCCTTTAGGACTTCAAGCTAGTTGGGAAGCCAACCACAGGATTGTGTGTTTCGAAATAGTACGAGGAGCGATGACAGTAAAGAAAGTAGATGCTTTGGAGGTGAAATTAGAAAAAGAGACGGAGCCACATCAAATCGAAAATAGAGGAACATTTCTCAATAATGGAGGAGTATTTTTTGTCCATAGAGGGGTGGTTCAAGCAGAGATTCATGGGCCTGAAAGAAATGATGAAGAAGATCATGTGGGTTCAAACAGAACCACCTCAGCCCGCCACAAGATCGAGCGACGCGTCAGAAACGGACGCGAGCAACAGAAACCAGAAGGATTCGTAGGACACCAGGGTAGCATCACTACTTTAGAGGGACCGGGCGACAACACTTACAAGAAATAGCCTGATATTCGGATGGCTTGAACAAATGGAAGCAAGATTGAAGTTGAAAAAGACAGAAGAGTCACATGATACTGAATTGACAAAGATTCTGGTGATCAATAAGCTATTAAATAAATTGTTCGGGCTGCGATATTCTCTAAGATTGGCTCGATGTTAGGACTCTATCAGATTTGTATGCGGCTGAAAAAATGTGGTTAAGACAACATTTCAAATTCATGAGGGTCATAATAAATTTTTGATTAAATAGAAAAAAAACCCAGATGATGATGAACCCTGGGAATGATACGACTTGATCCAACAACAGTTTTCCCTACCTTGAAAATAATGTGTCATTTGGAAGGGGAGTAGTGTTATGTCGGTGCCTAACCTAAGAGCAATTTTGACTTTTTATGTGGCCAAGAGCATTTTAGTCTATTATTTATTATTGTTTAGTATAAATAGGGGTTAGGTATGCATGAGATTATGTTTGAAGTCATAGGTTTAGGGTTCGGGAGAATTTCCTACCTCTCAAATTATAGAAATTGAGAGAGAAATTGGCACTTTTTCCTATATAAATCAAGGCATCTTTAATAATCCAAACAGCTCTAACGTGAATCCAGGAATAAACTTACAATTCAAGAGATATGTGATCTCTCGCATTTCTTACAAAGATAGGAAACCTCTCTCAAACCCTAAACCTAAGACTCCGGATCCAAACAACTCTACGTGAATCCAAGAATAAACGCCTACAATTCGAGAGATATGTGATCTCTCGCATTTCCTACAATCCGAGAGGTAGGAAACCTCTCTCAAACCTAAACCTAACACTTCAGACCCAATCCCATTCATACCTAACCCTAAACCAATTATGATCTGTTTATACTAAACAATAATAAAAAACAAAAGACTAGATTTTTCTTAGGCACACAGAAGATAAAATGCCCTTATGCTAGAGGCTGGCGTAAAAATACTCCCCTCCTAATAGACACATTGTCTTCAAGGTGGGAAAAATGATGTTGGATCAAGTCATGTGATCCCCATAGTACGTCATCATCCGTCAATCCTTTTCATTTAATCAGAAATTCATAGTTACCCTCATGAATTAGAAATGTTGTCATATACACATTTTTCGATGGATAGTGTTCTGACTTCAAGTAAATTTTAGAGAATATTACGGCCCCAAATAGCTTATCTTATAGCTCATCGATCACAAGAATCTCTATCAACTGCATATCATGTATCTCTTCCATTTCTGTCAATTTCAATCCTGCTTACTTCCATTTGTTCAAGTCGTGTCGCTTGAGTTCGCTCCTGATTTCTTTGCTCAATATCCCAGCTCCCAATCCGTCTAAAGTAGCGACGCTGCCTGATGTCGCACGAATCTTTTCGGTTGTTATTGTTCTCATCCGTTACGTCGTCGATCGATCCTGTGGTGGGTGGAGGCAGTATTGTATGAATCCCCTTGATCTCCTGCATCATTTCTTACAAAGCTATGAATCTCCGCTCAAACCCCCTCCATAGACAAGAAACGTCCCTCCATTACCGAGAAATAATCCTCAATTTTTTATATGATGTGGCTCGTCTTATTCTCTAATTTCACCAACAAAGAATCTACTTTCTTTATTATCATCTCTCCCTATACGATTTCAAAACTCACAATCTTGTGGTGGCTTCCCAATCCACTTCTCATATCGCAAGGGGTTCCGTCACTAGCAAACAATCTGGTCACCCACTATTGGGATCTTGGATCACGACTGGACACCACAATCTCACTATTGTGTCGCAAGGATCGAGCGAAAGGAGGAGAAAGATGTATTTTGGGTCTTTGTATGCCGCAATCCTCATATGGCCATTTTAGCTAGCTCTAATCACGACAGTACCGCGAGGAAAGAGAGATAATAGGAGAATACCGCGAGGAAGGAGAGAGAATAGGAGAAAGATGGGAGTTAAGATTTATGTAAGTTGAGACCTTATCGTTGCCTTCCCGGCTAGCTTTAATTATGACTGTATCAAGTCCATGGAGCGGGAGGAGAAAGATGGGCGTTTCGAGTCTCTGTAAGGCCCAATCCCATCGTTGCCTTCTTTGCCAACTCTCTCTATCCGAGCATGTCATCACTTCCAAGGCTCGATCGCGACTCTATAGCACAAACATATGTAAGAGGATAAAAATGAGATATTTAGGTCTCTAGTGCAAGTCTGATCGGTAGGTTGGATGCGGAAATATTTTCTAGCTGTGAATCTTTCTTCTTGGATCGAAACTCTGATACAAATTTGATATGATTTGACACAGAAATCGACACGATTTTTCACAAAAACTAGGGCAAAATAAATATTTTTCTTTAATAATCCAAACAACTCGACAAGAATATAAGGACAAAACCTATAATTTGAGAGTTAGGCAATCTCTCCCAACTCTTATAATTCAAGAGGTGAGAACTTTCTCTCAAACCCTATACCTAAGATTCCAGACACAAAATCATGCATACTAACCCTAAACCTATTAGGGTCTATTTATACTAAACAATAATAAATAATAAAAGACTAAGTTGCATGTCAGACGTTTTATGAAAGGAAAACTTAATTTAGGTGTAAATATATGAAATTTTGATTTTGAAAGTAATATTTTAGTTTTGAAAAATAGGTAAGACCAAACAAGTCTCACATTTTAAATAGTTTGGGTGACTAAACACGATACCACAAGTAATACATTTATCCCGAAGAATAAACATATCACATGTAGTAGGCTCAATCACCTAAACTAAAGAATTTGTGACATTTGTTTGGTCTGCGAAATATTTTATATGAGACCAACAAGTTCCCCTACCTAATACGAGGATTAGATAGGGTTTATTTTACCTGGTTTTCAAGTTCCCTACCCCTATAGTTAATTACATCTTAAATGAACTGAGTCACTTAAGAAAAATCTCGATTAAGATCCGTGGTTTTGCTTTCAAGATTTTCAAAGTTTCGGGTTTTCAAGATAGGACATGAGAAAATCAAACGGGAGTGACTCAAATAATAACAATTATTTAAGGAATCCAAAGGAAGAAAAGTATGGAAAATCACAGATATGGGGACAACCCCGGTGATCTCTCAAACTATCCTATCGTTCGGTTTTACATCTATGAAATGAGGTTATTTGATGTTGAATACTGCAATTTATTTAGAATTTAAGACTTATATTCGCACGATATCTGA